ACTGTTTACATTCACTGTTTTAAAAAAAGTGCGTGAGCTAATGTTATCTTCTTTTATATAAATCTCTAGATCCAGGAAATAAATTTTATTTCTACTACATTCTCGAGTTAAATGAATATTTCATTGATTTGAGTTTAAAAAGTATAACAATGCTAAGACGGAAAGCTCATCTCCCTTCCAAATTAAAAAAATGTCATCGATATATCTCTTATATAGGACCAGGTTCGCACTCCAGTCTTTGTCTGCATTTAACTATGTTGGATACCATTAATACTAACCTAAGCAGTTGGTCCTATTTTAACCATTATTTTTATTGTTTATCTCTTTCTATTCACACTGTTCACTTAAAAACTTTTTTTGTTGTTCGTCTTTTCATTAGGGATTTAATAAAATTATAGTTCTTTTTTGCTCTTTATAAATAAAGGTACTTTTAACCAATTACTGACAGAGCAGTCTTTCTGAGGGTACTAAGACTGTTATTGAGTTCGCCTGCTCAGCTTACCCATTCCAGCCTTTCCTTTTTAACTGTTAACTTAACAGTTGCTAGTTTTATCATTGTTTAATATCTTTCTGCTAATACTCTAACTTTTAATGTTTTTTTTTTCTGTCACATTGGATAAAACGTCTGGATGTTAACTTTATAAGTGCAATAATATCTAAAAGAATATATTCATATTAAAGGTTTTCCAGGGCTGTCATATTATCAGGGAAATGCAATTAAAATGCAATTAAATTGTAGTGAAAAGTGTTTTCTCAAGATACGGAAAGGTTGGAACTAATCTTTCTAGTTAAAATTAGAATTATTGTAGAAGTGTGTTTACTTTATATTATTTTTTTCCTTGCATAAAAGTTATTGTCACTCTTACACATTGGACATCTTTGAATATTCTTTGGACACTTTTTGCATTTGTATATGCATTGTGTTATACTCCTATATTCAGTACTATCTGGTATATGGATGTTTTATAATTTTTACGTTTAATTTTTTTTTAAATAAATATATATCACTATTGAAACACTATTCGTTTACCAAGTATTCCTTGGGGACCAATAAAGGAACACAAAAGGGGAAAAACCAAGAAGCTGACAACAGAAGGGTCCGGACAACCCCCAATGGTCCAGAGACGTATACCTCCAGAGTCATATGACGGTATGACTCCAGCCTTGTGAGTTTCCACTACTTCTTATTCTTGTTTCATTGGCAATTACAGACATACTACGCTATTTTGTATTATATTTGTGTTTTACAGACTTCTCAAGAATTTACAGCTCCACCTATTATTTTGTATGTATGTTCATGTGTTTTTAGTGGTGTAGGGGATTCCACTACATAGGTGTTCTAGAGCTATTATACCTTCTTTCTCCTTCTGTGTACACATCCTTTTATACCACTCTTACACATTCCACTGAGTTTAATGTTATTCAATTACATATAAAGGGTCATGACATTAAAGGGTCACTCCAGACCCCTAAACAACTTTAGCTTGATAAAAAAAAAAAAGCTTTATGTGATGAGTGTGTCCTCTTTTTGATTTTGAGTGTGCAGAGTTCAGCAACCTGTCCAGCCCCCATTATTTAATCTTAAATTGACAACTGATGACCACGGATGCAGGCACAGGGAAGATCTTAGCCTGATTCCCCCAGCACTCCCCCATATTTTATTAGCCACTGTGCAGCAATAGGTAGTTTTTAATTCCAGTGAGAAGCTGCAGGATGTGCACTGTTTAGTAGACATGCTCTTACTCTCATAATGGTCATATCGACCCCCATACGTACTTTACTTTTAGATTTTTTTTGCATACATTTATAGTTCATCCGAATCATTATGTATAGACAAAAAAATTCAGATAAACTGTAATGGCACCTTAATTTTTATTTTATTTTTCCTTTGATTAATTTCAGACAACCCTATTTTTTGCCATACACAAATTACAATGCTGTTGGCTCGGTGAAACACCTACAGGTTTATTCATTACAAGCTGAACTTAATTAACCCGAATTACAAGATTGAGGTATAATTAGCTTGTCTATAACAGTTGTTTATGTCAGCTAATGTCACAGTTTAAACCAAAGAAAAGAAAAAGTTACCTGCGCTCTCGCCTTAATCCCTATGTATATTTAGACAAATGGAGGTCATTTAGTTGCTCCAATGGCCATTGGAGGGAATGCCCGCCTGCCAATGTCAAGGCAGACCCCCCCTAAAGCGGGTCCTACACTAACCCTTCAGCCTGCTTCCTTGAGCTTCTGGCAAAGTTATCTCTAATAAGACAGAGAGGGGTATATATATATATATTCTTTTTTTTTTACTATATATTGGGGCTGATGTGTACTGTAGTCATTGCTGCCGGCCCAGTAGTGATGGGAGTGAGCGCAGGACTTATCTTTTTGTAATGTCACAGTTTGACTACTATAGTCTCAGTTTTGCCACTCAGGTGTCACTAGTTCAGAGTTTAGTGAACTAACCCTAAATACACATTAAACTTCACAGATCCTAAAGCAAGGGTAGGAAACCTTCGGCACTATATATGTTGTGGACTGCATCTCCCATAATGCTCCTACTCCCATAATGCTGACAAAACATTAAGGGAGATATAGCCCCTAACATCTGGAGTGTTGAAGGGTGCCTGTCCCTGACCTAGATCCTTTAAGACACTGGTATATTAATGAGACAGTTTTGTGGATCAGACAGTAGAACTAAGGTATGCAATGTGAAGTAGTTTTGGTGCATTCCAAAAGATTACTAAATCACTGGACCATACATTTGAAGGAAAACAAACCTACAAAGGTACAATATTGTAGCAGTATTTTTTATTCTCGTATGCCATCTAAATAGCATGCACCTCAACACTGTCACAGGCTGAATTCATTCTAAATTGCAAGGCCAGCCAGAAATGGTACAGCTCTAGGGATCACGCTGATCACTTTATCGTGGAATCCTACATCTATTGGAACAGAAATCTTATCATTTGATGAATATAAACAATCGGCCATGTCGATACTGTAGATACACCATTAGTAAATTTAAAAAGACAGAAGCATACTAATTTAGGGAGCTGTGCTGTTAATGGAGAAGACAGCGTCCTGTTGTGCATGATCAATCATACAACTGCAACCAGTCAGTAGATATCTAACATAATAACTAATTGGTGTCAAACTGAGACTCTGTAAAGTAGAACCATTCTTGATGGTTGAAAAGGCTCACTGAGGCACCCTGGTCCGTGACAATGTGATATGTTACAACAGGAAGCTAAAGTGTAATAAATGTCAGTGTTAATCAAATATAAGCAATCGCATGTATCGTTCATCGTAGCTGTAACCCACGTCTCATAAAAACTCTTAAAGGAAATGACAACTGTCACCCCAAAACAATTTTTTTAATATAGTAAAAAAACCTGTTTTTTTAATGAAGCATGGAAAAAAGTTAGAAACTCATCCCTCACTTTAGTACAAGACAGGATCCTCCATCCTGTTTACGTGCACTATGGGTCAGACAGTGTTTGAAAACTGACAGTGCATGCAGTGAAGCAGGAGAGACCTTAGAGACTGTCTGAACCAAGGTGCATGTATATGGCTGAAAGATCCTGTCATATACTAAAGATAGGGAAGAGTTTTTATAATTTTATTTTTACATATACTTCATTCAAAAAAATATATTTCCTTTCAAAACTTGATAAAAGTATTATTGTGTTAAAGATAGATTTGAGGGGGCAGTTGTCCCTTAAAGGTGCAGTCCGTATACCTACAGCACTTTAGCTTATGTTAGCAGTATCAATGGAGATATAATAAATACAAAAAAGACCGGGCACATATAAATAAATGTGTTTGGAACCCAGCAGCAAAGTTTCAGCACCAATGTGTTTTGTTTTTTTCAAGCTGCTTTCCGGGAGTTTGCGTGTGCCGGATATTTTTTGTATTTATTAATTAAAGTTAATAGTGTAAAAAGGATCTATGTGTGACTTTATGTGATCGGCTGCATGTACCAGGTAATGATTCTTCTCTTGAGATATTCTCAAATTCTCATTTAATCAATGGAGCTGTTACATGTTAAAAGGTTCCTGTCACTAGATAATGAAATGTTTCATTGAAATATAAAATACAATGTGAAATGTTTCACACCTCTTATTACCATAAATAGTCTTAATAGTCTAAATACTAGGTCAGAAAAAAATAAAATTACAATTAATTATGTAGCGCCAACATGTATTTCTCTGTTCAACAGCATTCCATGATGGGTTTACTTAAACTGAACCCCTCCATTGGCATTGAATACATCATTTATCATAGAGACAGATAATATATCAAATTCAAAATTTAGAGATCCAGACACTATATACCTTCTGTTCAATGTTCAAGTACCCAGCCCCCCTCCAAGTGCATGAAAAGGCAGATTTATTTACCTTTTCTGTGTCCACTCTGATCTCGCCATGGCGGAGATCATCAATCTTTATGTCAGCCAATCCAATGCTTTCCTGTAGGAAGACTATTGCGAATGCACAACAAAATGCCATGCTGGTTCAATCAGTATCTCCTCATAGAGACAGTGGCATCTCTAGGATTCATTTTTAGGGGGGGGCACATGGTGGGCCAGGGACAAAAGTAGGGGGGCACATTTAACCCCGCCCTCGTCACAGTTTGACCCTGCCCCTGTCGCATGTTAAGCCCCGCCCCCGACACAATGTGTTGTTGGTTTTTAATAATCCCTGGTGGAGGATTCATTATTTTCCACCAGGGATTATTAAAAAACAAACACATTTCCCTTGATACAGTGCCATAGTTGCCAACGTTTGAAAAAAAATTCCAAGGACATTTTGCAGCACAGCTATCAATTACTGTCTGGGTATAATATCCCTGGACAGTCAGTGCTCTCTGTATAATACAGGGTTGTGTGTATAATAAATTGGGACAGTCAGCGGTCCCTGTACAGTGCTGCTCTCTGTATAATACATGGCTGTGTGTATAATATCCCGGGAGAGTCAGTGCTCCCTGTATAGTGCTGCTCTCTGTATAATACAGGTCTGTTTGTGTATAATATCCCAAGACAGAGAGCAGCACTATACAGGGAGCACTGACTGTTCCAGGATATTATACAGACACAGATCTGTTTTATACAAAGAGCAGCACTATACAGGAAGCACTGATTATCCCGGGATATTATACACACACAGATCTGTATTATACAAAGAACAGCACTATAGTATTATACAGATAGCTGAGCATATACCCCATGTCCCAATCTCTAGACTACTAGTACCTGTCAACAGCAGCTCCCAGACGCGTGTAACAGGGCTAAAGTGTGCGGCAGCTCACACAGATGATTCAGCTGTAAAGTGCACTCGCTGGCAGAGCCAAACTGGGAATCCCTGGGAATCCAAAGCAGCCCTGGAAAAAAAATGTGTGCCATTCCTACAAGTCAATATATATATATATATATATATATATATATTGTACAGTGAGCACACAAGCTCACTGACATGCGCAAACAGGCTCACTGACAGACAAAAAACTCTGACTCACACACAAGTTTAATACAGACAAACTCACTTGTATAAATACAAGACTCACTACAAAGAAGTTCAGGGACACACACAAGCTCACTAAAGACAAGCTCACTGACACACACATGCTCACTAAATAGAAGATCACTGACACACACAAGCAGTACCATCTTAACAGTGTTAAGGGCCCCGGGCAAAGCAGTGCACTGGGGCCCTTCCTACACAACAACTCACAGGAATAAAAATTTAAATTATTGATAGACTGCTGAGTACATACACACAGTACACTGAATACGAACACCGAGAGACTGCTGAATACACACACACAGATTTCTGAATGCACACAGACTCCTGAATGCACACAGGCGTTGCTGAATGCACACAGGCTGATTTATACACTTACACACAGACTGCTGAGTCCAAATACACACACAGACTGCTGAGTCCATCTACACACACACACACAGACACACACATACACAGACTGCTGAGTCCATACACACACACAGACACACAAACACAGACAGCTGAGTCCATACACAAATACAGACTACTGAGTCCATACACACACACAGACTCACAGACTGCTGAGTTCATACACACACATACAGACTGCTGAGTCCATATACACACACACAGACTGCTGAGTTCATACACACACACACACACACACACACAGACTGCTGAGTCCACACACACACAGACTCTGCTGAATCCATACACACACACAGACACACACATCCAGCCTACCTGTCACTGGAGGCTGATGCTGGGGGTCAGACAGCCATCTTCCATTCTTTCCAGCAGCAGCATGGTCTGCTGCTTAACGGCAGGGCTTATGTGTGGGAGGCGGAGCTTCATTTGGGGGGCAGGGCCTGTGCCAGGGAGCCTGTCAGTGCTCCCTCTGGCCACAGACAATACCCAGCATGGCATTCCCTCGGGCTGTCACAGATTGTTACAGCCCGAGAGAATATAATTTATACACATGGCCAGCAAGTTGCCGGCATTTGGAGGTGCCCAAGTGGGGGCACAGCATGATGTGGGGGGGGGGACATGGCCCCCTCTGGCCCCCCCTAGACGCTACTGCATAGAGATGCACTGAATCAATGCATCTCTTAGGGGAGCGTTCAGCTTAGGAGGCATCTCTAGTGGCCGTGTGAGTGACTACTAGGCAGTAATGTAAACATTGCATTTTCTCTAAAAAAAAAAAAAAGGCAGCATTTACATTGAAATGTCTAGAAGGAGAGGCAATAGAATCCAGAAAAACTACATTAAGCTGCAGTGGTTCTGGTGAAAATAGTGTCCCTTTAATGTAGAGTTTCCCAGATTTAGTCTTGACAGGAACCAGAATAATGTTAATTGTATTAACTGATGATCCTTTATTCAGTTGTAAAATTACCTTAGTAGAACATTCAGTTGTGATATAATATATGATAAAATACTGCAATCACTGCAAATACTGTAAAAATTATTTAATACATTAGACATTTACAGTCTTACAATTTATTATTGGCAGTAACCTAGAGTCTGAATATTGGTTTATCCTTTTCCAGCCAGTGAGGTCCCATTAAAATAGCATGGGAACTCAATTTTAGGTCCCAGGCTATGTGAAAGGACCAAAAGTTGTTTCTCAGTGGATATTTTATTATGTATGCTCATTTGTTAATATGAATATTTAATCAGACAATCACGTGCCAGAAACTCAAGGCATTAAAGCACACAGACAAGAGGTTCACTTGTTGTTCAAACCAAATTTCTGAATGTGAATATGTGATCTAAGTTAATTTGATTGTGGAATATGGTTGCTTCAAAATGTGATGGTTTCCATAAATCAGAAACTGTTAATTCTCTTGAGGTTTTCATGCTCAACAATCTGTAAGGTTTTCAGAGAATGGTTCTTAAAGTAAAAAAACAAACAAATAAAAATAACTTTGCATTTAGTAGCTGTTATAAGGACAAAAATGTCTTGTTGCTAAGAGAGATCAGAGGATTCTGACCAGACTGCTTAATGTAGTTGGTTTGGTGAGTACAGTCAGTCCCTGTAGGCTTTTTGTTGTTAACACTGCCTTTTCAGAGAAAAGCAGCATAGGGACACCTCTGGTGGCCACTCCTCAGATGGCTACTAGAGGTGCTTCCTGGGGTAGTGCTACACAGTGTGCAGTACTGATGTTCAGCGTCTCCACGCTCTGCATAGATGCACTGATTTAAAGCATCTCTATGAGGAGATGCAGATTGGCCATGCCTGTGTTTGACCCCGCACCACCCGCCTCCTTGACAATCTTAACCAAGCCATTCTATGGGAGATCATCATTTCTGATTATGTAAGCCAAGGAGGCAGATTGGGGCCGGTATATTTTCTTACCTTTTAAGGGGGGCTAGCAATCTAAATGGTGGTTTAACAATATAGGTTCAGGAATACATATTTGTGTTCATGACCCTATAGTGTTCCTTTAACTTACACTATAGCAGAAGTGCTTCTCCGAATACACAATGTGTCGTACCTGGAAGTGAATGGGCTTTGTGTGAACAGTTCAGGCTGGTTGACATGCAGATAAACACTGCCAGACACGCACACAGAAATACACTGCAAAATAGAAACACACACATTCATGGGAGTACGCAAGAAGGGGAAGGGGCATAGTCATTATCACATGAAGCCAGAGTGAATAGCGTTTTCACAACTATGGTGTCAGGAATACATGTTTGTATTCCTGACACTATAGTGTTCCTATAATCAAATTAAAAGAACATTCTGGTCACCATAACAACTTCATCTAAATGAAAATGCTATGATGCCAGGAAGCCCCAGGGTGCTCTCTTTCCTTTAAGGGGTTAAACTGCTCTCAAATGGTTTAACCCCAAAGGCTTCCTCAAGCTCCAGATCACTCAGTGATATTTGGCTTCTGAAACGGAGTGTCAGGAAGTGCAGATTGACATCAGGCATGGGTGCTGCAGGTTGGCTAGAGTGGTCAGTTGACCGCTCTAGCCAATCAGCGACACCCCTATTCAGCGGAATTCTGTACTTCCTGACACTCCGTAAATAAAAGTGAACACATTAACACTGATATATTTTTTTACCTAGGGAGATGAGAAGGTCCAAAGATTCCCTGCCAGGCCCAGGCACTTGTCCTTCCTGCTCCAGTCTCCTTTTCTTCTCCTTCATTTGACACGGTCTTCTTTTTCTTATGACACTGTCTTCTCTCCTCCTTGGCTCCTTCTGCTCCTTTACCTTTCTGCTACTTTCTGCTTATTTTGTGCCCTTCTGCTCCTTTCTCTTTATGATCCCTTTCTGCTCCTTGAAGACCCTTTCTGTTCCTTCTCCTACTTTACTTTTGTGCTCCTTCTTATTCCTTCTGCTCCTTTACCTTTATGCTCCTTCTGTCCCTTCCTGCTCCTTGCTGCCCCTTTCTGCTCCTTATCTTATTTTACCTTTGTGCTCCGTCTGCCCCTTCCAGCTCATTGTTGACCCCTTCAGCTACTTGCTGACCCTTTCTGCTCCTTTATCCTCCTTCTACTTTACCTTTGTGCTCCTTGTTGCCATTTCCAGCTCCGTGCTGCCCCTTTCTGCTCCTTGCTGTCCCTTCCCGCTCTTTGCTGCCCTGTTCAGCACCTTCTCCTCCTTTACCGTTTTGCTCCTTCTGCTCCTTTCTGCCCCTTTCTGCCACTTTCTGCTCCTTGCTGTCTCTTCCTGTTTCTTTCTGCTCCTTCTCCTACTTTACCTTTGTGCTCCTTCTGATTCTTTCTGCTCCTTCACCCCCCATCCCTCACTTATCTATAGGCTGTCTCTCCCTTCCCCATCCCTCACTTACCTGATCTGTAGGCTGCCCCCCATCCCTCATTTACCTGATCTATAGGCTGACCCCCCATCCCTCACTTACTTGATCTATAGGCTGTCTCTCCCCTCCCCCATCCCTCACTTAGGTGATCTATAGGCTGTCTCTCCCCTCCCCAATGCCTCACTTACCTGATCTATAGGCTGTTTCTCCCCTCCCCCACTTACCTGACCTGTATGCTGCCCCATGCATCACTCACCTGATCTATAAGCTGTCTCTCCCTCCCCCCATCCCTCACTTACCTGATCTGAAGGCTGCCCCCATCCCTCATTTACCTGATCTATGGGCTGCCCCCATCCCTCACTTACCTGATCTAGGCTGTCTCTCCCCCCTCCCCCCATGCCTGACTTACCTGATCTATAGGCTGTCTCTCCCTCCTCCCCCCATGCCCGACTTACCTGATCTATAGGCTGTCTCTCCCCTTCCACATCCCTCACTTACGTGATCTATAGTACCTAATTGCATTTTTCATTACAGTTCAGAGTGGACTGCCCAAATTTATCATTTTTTTGTTTATTCACAAAATCAGAAATTGTAGAGAATTGACAAGGGATTTGCAAATTATGGCCAGAAAATAGCTCAGTTATATCAGATTATTATTTTTTTTAAATTTGACTATTTTGTCCTAAATATTATAAATTCAATTTCAATTCTCCACAATGCAATTCTGGATTTAGAGAAAAATGTCCTCAGTCAGTAAAACTCATAGCAAACTTTCACAAAAATTATACTGTTTTGGAATAACTTTTCATCAACTAACTAATTTATTAGATATATTCCTACAACTTAAAAGGATACTAAAAGCAGCAAAGCAATTTTAGATTAAAGCGGCATTGTCATGCCGAACTTACCTTTCCCCAATCGCTTCCCCTTCT